GGTCAAAGTATTAGGCCGCAATGGTCAGCACAGAATCGTGCGAGCATTACTGGATTCTGGATCCCAAGCCAACTTTGTATCCAGTCGCTTATTGACGGACTTGAAAATCAGGCCGCAACGAACAGCTACTACTTTGTAGGGCATTGGATACAGTAATCTACCAACATCAAAACAAATAAGTCTACAGGTGTCATCGGTAAACAAAAAGCATTACATGCAAGTATAGTAGAAGCTCTGGTTCTGAGCACAATTGTTTCTGACCAACCATCGACGACGATCACCAGAGATGAAGTACAAATTCCAATGAGGATTGAATTAGCTGATCCTGAGTTTTACCGGTCCACCAAAATTGACTTGTTAATTGAAGCCGAATTTTATCACCGTCTGATGCAGCCTCATCAGCTACCACTAGGAATTGGCCAACCCATATTACAAAGTACTGCACTCGGATTGATTGTGTCGGGACCAGTAAATGTTCGGCAAACATCCAAGACAGTCTGCGTTGGAGCTCTTACAAAGGGTCAATCAGGGCAGGCTGTCACAGTAGCAGAACATTCAGGGCAGTACTACAGGAAACATAAACGGACACCTACACCGGCCATCCCTAAACGAATCTATGAGCCAGGCATCCTAAATAACGTGGATCGCTCTACCAGGAGCCATCGACCGGTCATCAGAACCGACAAATCAAGACTGAAATCGACCAATAATGAGCCTGCAAAGGATGACAACATGAGTGTCAGACTGACCTCACCAATCAGTTTATCACCCATAAGATGGATCAACGTATCCCAGCGTCAACGATACTCAGCTTCCAAATGCACCTGGACTTTGTTGTCAAGGTCGGGCACCCATGGCCACAGCAGTGTTCCAATGGAAATTCGTAAGCTACTATGAACTGCAATCGTTATGGCAAGACATGAAGATTGCCAAAAAAGGCATTGAAATGTTACAGCGGTTATGTAAGGACACTTTGCACAAAGGCCACTTATGTAAGTCGCCTCTCGTACTCCACCCACGTGAAATGGATGCCCTCCGGCACACGAAGGCACCTTTAAAAGGAGGCAGGCAACGCAGATGCGAACAAGAGATGGATGGAAACATTACCAACGGGCTATTTGAAGAACGGGACTCAAGGTATACTGTACCCATGGCTCAGCCCATCATCCAGATTATGATGCAAGCCTTGATTCAAGACATCACGCTGAGCATTGCACAACAAAACGGAATTGACAACAATGCATGGCTAGAAGCAATTCGGACGCAGGTCCATGAAATCAGCAACGCCAAAGCTGACTACAAGGCAGCTCATAAACATGAAGACAACATCTATCACCCCCATTGACCCTGCGTGCTCACTAAGCAGTTCACATTACCTCTTACCGGAGCACCCTACATTTACTTCGCAAGTACTAGAAGCATATCCGGCCTGTGTATCCATCGACAAAGCAGAACCTAAAAGGCAATCGAGGTTCAGTATGCAGTCTCCACGAATAACGCTAAGTACAGACCAAGTTACCATGTTGATGTAGCAAGCAAAACTCACCATTCTGGCAAATGTGTTACTTGAAGAAATAAAGCCAGTTCCTCTTAGCAGCAGTCATCGTCACCAGTGGCACCTACGTAAACCTGATCATCTCAATTGGCATCATGGTGTGGCTCCGACGTCCGCCACGGATCAATACTAACCGCCTCAAAGCCGGCATGCACGAAATAGCTGGCACACACCACAGACCGAGAGCTGACAGCCAAACCGCAGCAAGTACCGTAATTAATATACGTAAGCAAAGATTCAACACATCGACACATACATACCATTCCTCAACTTTAAACATTCATCATATGAAAGGTCGTTAAGCTTACGTACTCAGAAGCAAACCACACAAATAAGTAGTAAAGGAGGAAGATCCAAAGAATTATCTTCTGGAATAGTTTAATTCAATGCACAAAAATGATGACACGACACTCCCAAGAATACATATACCGACAGTACTTGCGATGCGCGCATACATTATTTTTTAAACGGCACTACCGGTCGCCACAAATCGTCACATGCAACTGTTCTCGTAATAATTTACAATCGCTATCGTCACACAAGCACTTCCCATTTGCGAAATTCGATCTTGAATTCGCGTCAACGGCCGGTCATAGTGACCAACTGCATTAAACGAAATATTCAAGACAGTTTCACAGAAAACAAATGCTGACATATATGTTTTGTTTCAGAAAATTGTGGTAGGCAAGTTATTAGAATCAAATACAATTGACAAACAAATTTACAAACAAACATTACGTAAATTGCGAAAGAATCCGAAATTTGGGGAAGAGGAGAATTTTGCAACGCGGCATAAACAGACCCGGCAGTTCAGTGCACCTGCATGTTACATGACATCTCATCAACGCGACGCAAACAGACATACAATTAAATAGTTTGGCAACACATAACATACATATAAGTACACATAAACCTATACATCCATATTGTTTTAGCATAGTTAAAGAATTACAGGTGCATTGACATTGGCCAGCCAACATAAGCAATAATAATAAGCAAGAATAAGACACATATTATTCTGCTATCCCAGCATAAGACCATCAATCACATACAGGTCATATTTCCGTGCACTGCACATATAAGTTTATGAGCCAAATTGGGCTGACACCAGCATACTTAAGCTCATAATATATGCTTGCGCATCATTATTGTGAAACCGCCAACACATAGAAATGGTAAATGTAAATAGTCATAAGGTAGTTTTAAGCATGGCTATATAAGCAGTGATTTGTAAGAATAAAATCAGTATGCAAATTATCAACGAACGGCCTGTTACTTTGAGTCAATACGGGAACCGCTGATCTTTATCACGCCGCCTACCACGTTGAACTACATGCTCCCAAGGATTGCCATCCGGTATCCTTGGTCACTGCAAACGTCCTGCGTCGTTTCACTCAAGCGCAACCAGGACAACCGGTGCTACTCACTCCTACTGGACCACAAGTGCCTTTAATTAAACGGACCACGAGTGTCTACCCAACAAGCGGCCTTTAAATTAAACTCGCCAGCACCACGATCGTTTTGCCGATTCGCATACATACACGCATAGACACTATGATGTAAATGTATGCTGTAATCTGTACATAAACATGTCTTCACTTTTGTATGAACATATGTATGTATTGAATATTTTTTATTTAATTTAATTATACCCTGTACCCAAAAGGTAAAAGGGTACATTAGTTTTGTGCGAATGTATGTAACACACAGAAGGAGGCGTGGCAGACCCCATAAAGTATATATATTTTTCATCAGGATGACTGGACGAGTCGATATAGCCATGTCCGTCTGTCTGTATGAACGCAAGGATTTCAGAAAGTATAAGAGCTAGAATAACCAATTTATTTAATATAATTTTTTTTTAATTAATTAAAAAATTTTTTCTCTCATTTTTTCCTTTTTGGTGAGAGGTACAGGGTATTTAAGAGTTGAGCTCACTCGACTTAAGCATTCCTGTCTTGTTTAATTTTCCTTTTTTGTGGAGAATACAGGGTATTTTAATTTCAGGCTTTCTCGACTGTAGCGTCGTGTAATTTCGTGATATAAGTAATTTCTGATATAATTTTAAAAAATTAATTAATTAATTAAATTAATAAAGAACATTTATTTAATACATACATAGAAGACATGTTTATGTTCAGTTTTAACAGCATACATTTACATCACGTGTCTATGCGTGTATGTATACAGCACAAAGCTGAACCAAAACAGCAACAATAACAACATCTGCGGGCAGAGCTGCACGCAGCGCATGGGCAACGATTTTATTTATGGTTATAACTTTCTTCATAATTGACCTATCATGATGAAACTTGGCACATGGTTAGTACATAAGTACTAATTGGATGTAACTATCAAAATTGATTTCAAAATTCCAAGAATTTCGGAAGTTATAAAATAAATTGCGGGGGAGTGTAGGGGTGTATCAGAATAAAAACAAGAGAGAACGCTACAGTCGAGCAAGCCCGACAGTGTAATATCCTGTACCCAGGTAAACTTCCGTCACTGAGTTATATGCGCCCATAGCAGCAGCAAAAAGAGGAAGAAGAAGAGCGAACTTGTTGCTTCAGTTTGAGGGGGTTGTACTGGCGAGAACTTCTTTTGCTAATAACTTTTCTTAGAATTGACCGAATTGAATAATAACAGTAGACAATTATATATAAATTATGTGTGCAAAGTTTGGTTTAGATAGCTTTTGAAATGTGGACGCTATTGACGCTATATTGAAATTCTGTAGCGGGGGAAGGGACGGAAAATTCCAAAAAATAAAATAAACTCGTCCTTTCTCGGACCTAGGAGAATCTGGATGCCAACTTTGGTTATTCTAGCTTTTATAGTTTCTGAGATCCTTGCGTTCATCCAGACGGGCGGACATGTCTAGATCGATTTCTCTCGTCATGCTGATTCAGAATATATCTATATACTTTATGGGGTCGGAAATGCTTCCTTCTGCATGTTACATACTTTGCACAAACCTAATATACCCTTTTTACCCTACGGGTACAGGGTATAAAAATTAGCTCGACCTGCCTAGGACTTAGGGGAACCTCGATACCAAGTTTGGTTATTTTAGCTCTTGTACTTCCTGCGATCCTTGCGCTCATACAGACAGACGGACCAATACTTTATATACTTTGTGGGGTTTGTGTTACATACATTCGCACAAAACTAGTATAGCCTTTTACCCCTTGGGTACTTTTGACCTCCTCTGTATGACCTAATATGATGAAACTTAACACGAGCGTGAGGCTTGATTTTTAGCTTTTCTATTCATATTATAATTATAAACAAATATTCAAGTTTTGCATTTGTAGATAGCATATATTTGTTAACGTAATAAATAGATGACCAAGTTGCGGAAGTTACGTAATACGTATACAGGTAAAACTAACTTACTGTGACGGTACCATTTGATTTTATGTTTCACGAAATAAATCAAATTTAATTCAGTTTGAAAAATGTGTATTTTATTTTCAGATCCTACATGTTTTCAACTGTTGCAACATATTTGGCAGTTCATTACGGGATTTCTCACAACCAGAAGATGCCAATACTAGTTTAGCCGCGATCTTGCGTTTCAATGCAATGGTTTCCACTCTTTTGGAGAGCTATTAATAAAAATAATGAAAGACAAAGGTATACAAAATATTGGGCGTACTAACCCCGTAAGCACGTTTTATTAATTTCTGTGGCATGCCAGCCAGCTTAGCCGCATTAAATCCATAGGACTTCGGACAGGATCCTGCTGTGTATTTATACAAAAACGTGACGGTTTCTTGCGTCGGATCCTCCATATCCTCGTTTTCGACCATACAAGCCATATGACCCAGGGAGATGCGCACATCATTGTGAAAAAAGTCAATAAGATTGTGATAATGTGTGGAGAACAATGTGCGACACTTCAGATCGGCCAAGAAGTTTACCACAGAGGCAGCAATAGCTGTTCCGTCGTACGTAGCTGTGCCACGCCCTAATTCGTCTACCAACACTAAGCTATGCGACGTTGCGTGCTTGAGTATCAATGAAGCCTCACTTAGTTCCACTAAGAAAGTGCTGTGACCAGCAAGTATATCGTCCTGGGCACCCAAGCGCGTAAAAATTCGGTCCACAAGCGAAAGGCGGCAGCTAATAGCTGGTATGTGTGCGCCCTGAGAATAGACGAAGATAAAGTTGTTGTTTTAAACAGTGTTCAACCTCCACTCACAACTTGTGCCATGACCACGAGTAAACCCAGCTGCCGCATAAGTGTGCTTTTGCCACCCATGTTCGGCCCGGTTAGAATCGAGAGAGGAGCTTGCGCGCCTGAACCCAGCTTTAAACCATTGGGAATGTACGTATCTGTGTTCACGCACGGATGATAGCCGTCCTCAATCTCAATGAAATGCTGCACGTCAGACGCTATAATCTCAGGCACGCATACGACGTGCTGCTGACGGGCATATACTGCTAGTGCACCGAGCACATCAAGATTGGACACACAGTCGATGCACTGCTTCCATTTTTCATAATGATTAGAGAACTTTTCGAAGATACGACGCGCCAAGTCATTCAACACTGCAGTGCGCGCTTCCTCAGCTTTCTGCATTTCCTTAAGAAACGCCTTAGTCTGCGCTGTACTGTATCTCCGAGCCGGTTTCTTGCCTTTGACTTGGCCTTCCAGTGCGTATTCGTGGTTGGCCTTGTGGGCATGTGTCTCGGGGACATCGAGCTGATAGCGCTTTTTATCCGAGCCAAAGTAGGTCAGTCGACAGCCAAAGTATCGCTCCTGATCAACAAGATAGGTTTTAAGCTGCATATCAATATCCGCTATGCGCGTCTGTACAGAATCGTAATCTGAATCCGCGCCTGGTTGCGGTGCTATAGTACCTGTTTTGGCGGCAGACGTATGGTCGAAGGCCTGCGCGAAGTAGTTCAGCTGTGAACTTAAATCCGGGAAAATACCCCCCGCTGCAGACTGTTGGGTGAGTCGTCTAAGTAGATCACTTTTGCAGTGGCGAAACAATATAGGTAACTTTCCAAGCGTCTCAAATCCCTTCAGAATGGCTATGAAATTTGACAGCCTCTGCTTATTGTACAAGTGCTGCTCAAATAAAATAGCCCGTGAATCAGGATGGTCATCCTGGGCTATACGCTTGTTCCCGAACAGATGTATTTGCGCGAGGTACCGTTCCAAATCTGGCAGAGTCGCTATTAAAGCGCGTAGCTTTTGAAGCTCATCGTCAAGCTGCAGGAGCTCCCCAATAGCCGCCTGACGCTCTCGAATCAACACGAGATCACAACTGGGCGCGCAAAGCCATTGGCGCAGCAACCGCTTACCGAATTTTGTGCAGCAATGGTCTAGAGTAGCTTCTAGGGAATGCTCCTCACCGATTATTCTCAGATTAGCCAACGTAGTGGCATCGAGGACCATTTGCGAGCGGCGCAATATGGGAGTAATGCCTACCGGCTGGACGTCCGGCGGCACGTACATCTGATAGCGAGCCATGGGCAGTACTTTTAGTTCAAGTTTGCACTTGTTGAGATAGTGGATGCACTGACCAAGTGCTTTTAGCGCTAGCTTGTAATCTGCAGCTGGCGTGATACCCAAGTGGTCTGTATCTGACTTCATAGTACGTAGGACTGGAGGCCAATCATTTTCGGATGCCGATTGGGGATAAAACCTTTCGGCTAGTATTTTCAGCGTACGCTCTGCACTGCAAACTTGTGCGCCAGAGCAGGGCAGTTGCTCTTTGAGTATGCTGGCCAGAACAGTCCGCAAAATTTTTCGAGTGCGCTCGCTAAGTGACCCTTTTTCGCTAAGAAACTGTTTCAGAGTTAGGAAAAAGGGAAATTAAAATAAAAAAATAAAAAAAGCTGGTCACCCACTCACCAGAACGGGCTTGTGATGTGACAACAGAGTGAGCAAACGGGAACAGCTTTTATCGTCAGAAAACTCGCCCACATTAAAGTCGCCAATGGACGTGTCTACAAAACAAATTCCAAACTTACTGCCCACTCCTTCGTCGTTTTCCACCAGAGCCAACATGTAGTTGGGCTGATGATTAGGGCCGATAGAACACTGCAACCCGAAAACTTGTGTGCCGCGGTCTGTAATTTGACAAATCTCCCGCATCACTACCTTGTCGTATTTGGTTGGTTTTATGCGTTTGCATCGCTCAGTCATCATCTCAGGAGTCTCAGTTTGCTCCACACGCGCCACCTCGAAAAAAAGGACTTCATTATTTGATTATACTTATTTTTGAAAAATATTTACAAACCTTGTAGCCTTTGTCTACCAAAATCGTTGACATTTTATCAAATGAGATTTCTGGAAAGCCAGAGTGAGCAAATTCGCCGCGCATGTAAGTAAAGCCGAGCTCTTTAACGCCTATATCAGCGTCCATGTGATAAAGCTCGTAAAATTTTCCAACCTTAAAAAAAAGGACGCAATCATAGTTTTCCGATTTAAGCACCCACCATTGGCGAACGCCCGGTGACAGAGTATTTAAAAACTTTTCGGGCACATGTAGTGTGCTTTTATCGTAGTGTGGATGATCAGGACGCCTTCCAGCTTTGTCCTTGATATGATCAGGTAGCAGAAACTCCAATTTCTGATGTGGCCAAACAGCTGGTTCGTCCAACGTTGGATTGTTGGTCATTATTGGTATCTCATCATATTGAACTTCCGTTTTGACATTGCTTTGCAAATGCATTAATTTTTCTATGAATGTGACAGTAGACTGCGATGTTTCAAGTTTTAGTTTCTTTTTATCCGACTCATATCTGTTTTTGAATAATTTGTTACGTGTTTTCTTAAGCGTCAGATCTCTAGTCTCGCAATCACTAGATTCTATGTCCATCTCTGCATCTGTTTCGCTCCTTTCACTACATTGTGTATCATCATTAGGCTCATACTCAGATTCGTCATCAGAAAAGTCAGGCTGGTGTTCGTCTTCAGATGATTCCTGCATAATAATACGCTTTCGTTTGCGTTTGCATACCAGCTCATCATCCACATCATCCATTTTATCTGGCGATAGTGATGAGATCAGCTTACGTTCTTTCTTTATGGGAAATTCAGCAGTTAGTTCCGCAGAGCTATTACGTTTGAAATTCTCCTTTCCAGATTCAATGGTGGTTTCTGTTGCTTCTGTAGAATAATTAGTTTTCGGGTCTCTTTCAAGTATTCTTTTTTCGACTGCCGGAGATTTGGAGAAGTACTTAAAGAGCGTGTTTGTTGGAGTGCCCCCGACATTACTGCCTAACTTCCTCGACATTGTTACTCAATTGTAAATTTTTGTCCCACTCCTTTACAGTGCACATAAAAATAGCGCGAAAATGCGTTCGAATAGAGGTGGCAAAATATCGACGGCACAATTAATAGTATCGATGGTTTTAAATTTTGGGTAATATCGATGGTCTTGGTCGATATATAAATAGTTCCATTCAGTGCTGCCATTTTTTTAATTTAAAGAAAGCTGTTTCTAACGGAAACAAAGGGCAAAAAAAGCCGACAATTTACAAAAAAAAACCTAAAAAAAGTGGTTATGGTTTTACCAATTTATTAGTTGTAAGGTGATATTTATATTAAATCATTCAGTTCTGCGAGGTTCGCATTCGTACGACATGGTCGTACCAATCATGCGTAAATAATTAATTAATTTTGTCAGGCAAAATAACTAAGTCTATTTTTGTTGTTGAATAAAACAGTTCATTGCACTTGTGTGCTTCTTTGTTATTGCATGAGTGCACAAATCAGTAAGCTTGGCTGTGATAGTGATCTTGCAATAGCTGCAGTAAACCCTATGCTCGTCCGAGTCATCTTTGCGAATCTAAGCCTTGAAGTCTTCGCTTTTTAGCCAAGCATCTCGGCAGTTTGGGTAGTAGATAATTCTGCTTTTATACGCAGATTGGTTCCAGGAAAAAACGTGTAGAAAAAAGACATTGATCATGCGCAAAAATGCTAAAACCTATTAAAATTAGTGAAAAAGCAAGGATATATTTTTATATTTGAATGGTTTTTAGGTTTTCGTCAGCTGTATGTGTTTTCATTTATTCAATTTGTATTTTTAATCGTGCCAAATGGAATAAAGTCGTGTAACAATATATACAATTTTTAATTTTCACACCTATTCCTATGCCATTTTACAATTTAACATTTTTCTTTGTAAATCGAATAATTAGGAGAATGTCGATATTTAATTTATGATTGTATACATGTGTATATTGTAGTCTAATTTTAAGGACATAATATTACTTTTTCGTAAAATATTAATTTATTTTATGCAAATGTGGATAACATTAAGTTTGTTATTTTTTGGCTATGATCTCCAAATTCCTTGCTTTTTTCAACAATAAAATACATGTATGTATGTACATAACACAATCTTTTATGATAGACTTTGTGCAAAAAACTGGAATAAATATTAGAATATTTCCTAACTTTAAATTATATTTTGGTCGTGTTGTTTTTGTTTCTATCGCATTTTCACGTTTGTGTCTTTTCGTGCTTTATTGCGTCAACACGAACGCGCACGAAATTGGAATATGAAACACGATACTTGTGTCCACGCAGTGCAGCGTTGTACCACGAACAATAAAAGGCACCGACTTTGCCCATATGTGTTTGTGTCTGTGAGTGTGTCACTGTGTAAGTGTGATTATGTGATGCCACCAACGGTTTGCTATTTTGCGCTCTTTGTTATTTATTGTTGCTGCATCTGGCAAGTAAAAAACACATTTCTATATTTCGAAAATCGTTGAATGCCAATTTGTAGATATAGTTATGTTGATAACGGGTACCAAATTTGAAATCGATCGGACAACATTAATAACACAAACTTTTAATTTGAAAAACAGTCTAGAAATATTAAAACCCCAATAATTCAAGTTCCAAGACCAAGTCGATCGGTTGAAAAATTTAGATTTTTCAAACAAACTTTGGAGCTTGTTTTCCCCCCTTTGGAGCTCGAATTTTCTAAAATTCCTTCATAGTGCGCACCTACATTATGATATTATACTTGACCCCAATTTTCAGCTTTCTACGTCATACCGTTTGGGCTGTGGGCTGTTGACGCGGTTTCCTTTATTCCCTTATTACTTCGCTTCAAAAATCGATCCATTATAATTCCATACAATGAATTACAGTCCACTTTACCAATCTAATTAAACCTAAAATGCTTATTATTAATAGATATATCAAAAAGAAGCTAATCTCACCTTGCTTAAGCCGCCGGTTGACCCTTAGCAATGTGGGTGAAAGCTATTAGCTTGCATACGTCAATGTTTTACGATGTTTTGTTTGTCAGGATTACGGTTACTTTATTAGTTAATAACATTAAGTAAAATACTTTGACAGCTTATCTTGATTAATACACATGTTTGATTTAAAATATCTCTGTTGATTTTTTCCCTAATACGAGCATGTTTTTGCATGAAAAGTAAATTTTTGTAAACTTCGAGGACTTAAGGGACATTGATGGACAGCGATGTTTCTCTTCGACTTACATACTTACAAGCTAATGGAACCAGGGCTGCCAATTTTTTCCCGTCACATCTGGCTGTTTTGTGAGGCCTGTTGTGGGAAAAAATTGAGAATTGCGGGAAGCGGGAATTCTGGATTTTTTAATTTTGTCGCCACTCAAATAAAAAATATAATAACTGGCGGTTCATCATTATTTTTATCGATACTGGCCAATACCCCCACTAGTTTAAGGCAGATTATCATCCCATCTATCATATTAAATAAGTGTGTATCCATTCACCGTGCATACGGATTCCTGTATTTTTGCAGCCAATTAGATGATCGCCCTATGACGGGCCGAAAAAAGCCGACACATGCCCATCTCTAGCACCTCTGCTGATCGGATATTTACAAGCGATTTACCGTTTGTCTTAAAAGATTGCGTCAGCTAGAAGCGCTACATATGTATTCTGAAGAACATTCTAGGAGACATTAAACGTTAAGCTTATTCCGTGAATGTATTATTGCGATTTACAAAAACAAAAACGCGCCTTTACACTCACAACAATCATATTAAAACAAGATAGAACGCTACAGTCGAGCAAGCCCGACAGTAAAATAGCCTGTACTCTTCACAAAAAAAGAAAAATTAAAAAAAAAAAATGTTTAAAAAAAATTAAATTATTAAAAAAAATTAATGAATTAATTAATTAAATTAAATTAGAATATATGTTTATGTTTAGTTTTAACAGCATACATTTACATCACGTACCTATGCGTGTTTATATGCGTGTATGTATGCAGCACAAAGTTGAACCAAAGCAGCAACAACAACAACAGCTGCGGGCAGCGCTGCCGACAGAGGCAGCGCATGAGCAGCGATTTTACTTATGGCTATAACTTTCTTCAGAATTGACCTATCATGATGAAATTTGGCACACGGACACATTAGTACTAACTGGATGTACCTACCAAAATTGATTTCAAAATTCCGAGAATTACGGAAGTTATAAGAAAAAACACGAATTGCGGGGGAGTGGGGGGGTGCATCGAAAAAAAACTCAAACTCGTACTTTCTCGGTCTTAGGAGAATATGGAAACCAAGTTTGGTTATTCTAGCTCTTATACTTTCTGAGATCCTTGCGTTCATACGGACAGACGGACAGACGGACAGACGGACAGACAGACGGACAGACGGACAGACGGACAGACGGACGGACGGACAAGGCTATATCGACTCGGCTTCTCATCCTGATCAAGAATATATATACTTTGTGGGGTCTGCCACGCCTCCTTCTGTGTGTTACATACATGCGCACAAAACTAGTATAGCCTTTCACCCTTTGGGTACAGGCTATAAAAACACATATGGATAAGTGTTGAACTGTACAACTGAATACATACACCTACATGTGTGTATATGTAAGTATGTACAGGCATATGAGGATAGATAGCACCTGCATCAAAAAATAAAATGTACATACATATGTATGTATGTACATATCAACGTTGCTAGACGTCCCGATTATTAAATCAAAATTAAATATCCCGCGCGGGACAGGCTCAAAAAGCTGTCAAAGTGTAGGTGAGCACCAAGAAGTGGTTAATAGGGAATTAGAAATCAGATTAACTTTAAACTTAGTTTATGTATTTACTTTGAGAAAGAATGCAGAATAAACCGCGTTGTATTTTTGTAACCTTTCATTAAAGAGTACAAGAAATAATTATGATATATGTATACTAGCAGGTCTTGCCCGTCTTTGCTAGGCTAAGTAAAATGTGCTTATAATTATAAGTTTATTTATTTTTATGATATTCTACTTTCGACGCTCTCTAAAGTTTTTTAAAGAGTTCATTTTACAAATAGCAAATATAGTACAATAAGTTGTATGTAAGTATGGTTATACGTACATACAGTGACGAACAAAATTATTGGCACAGTTGGCACGTCTGACTTTCGCACAGTGTTTCTCCATGAAATATGGTGATATTTAAATAAAACAAATTTTATTCATATACATTGATCAATTTCCTACTAAAATTACTTTATTTCATTCATTTATATTTTTCCATTAATTTAAGAAAATTAAAAATATAAAAAAACAGCCGTTTTCGCCTGAACAAAATTATTGGCACACTTAACCAAAAATACTTAAAATTAACATAAATAACCGTTTTTAAACATAAATTAATATTTTGTGGCTAAGCCCTTATGTTTAATGACTGCTTCCAAGCGTCTGGGCATCGAAGAAACCAAACTTTGAGTGGTTTCTGATCCAATATTGCGCCACTCCTCCACCAGTGCCACCTTCAGCTCGGCCTTTGTAGATATAGCGCGTTTTTTTACACGTCTATCTAATTCTTCCCACAAATGTTCGATGGGGTTTAGACCTGGAGATTGGGGCGGATGCGGCAAAGTATGTTTTACATGATGTGCAAGCCACATGCGCAGATCATAAGCCGTATGCTTTGGGTCATTGTCGTGTTGAAACGTGAACGTGGCTGGTATGTTCAACTTTTCGGCACTTTTTTTTAGATTTCTCTTAAGGATATCTAAATAATACTTTTTGTCCATAGTTCCTTCTATAAATTCAAGTTCACCAACACCACCAGCGGACATGCAGCCCCACACAATGACGCCTCCACCACCATGCTTTACAGACATAGCGATGTTTTTTTTTCCAGTTCCGTATTAGGCTTTCTCCAAACAGTTTGGCGGCCATCAGATTGAAAAATGTTGAATTTACTTTCATCGGAAAAGATGACATTGTTCCAAAAGTCCATCGGCTTACTCAAATATTCGTTTGCATAGGCTAAGCGCTTCTTCTGGTTGACTTTTGAAATAAGTGGTTTTCTTCTAGCAACGCGGCACTTGTATTTAGCTTTGTGCAGTGTCCTCCGAACCGTAATCGGGTGAATATCTTTTCTAAATTCATTTTTAACCTGAGCTGCAATCTGTGTTGTGGTTTTTAACTCAAACATTTACAACTATGTCATTCCAAATATAAACATAACGGGGTTTTGAAAAAAAATTTTGCCATTTTGTTGAAATTTTGAAAATATAGTTCACTATTACCCAAGTGTGCCAATAATTTTGTTCAGGCGAAAACGGCTGTTTTTTTATATTTTTAATTTTCTTAAATTAATGGAAAAATATAAATGAATGAAATAAAGTAATTTTAGTAGGAAATTGATCAATGTATATGAATAAAATTTGTTTTATTTAAATATCACCATATTTCATGGAGAAACACTGTGCGAAAGTCAGACATGCCAACTGTGCCAATAATTTTGTTCGTCACTGTATGTACATATCTTCGTTACGCAGTCCGCAGTCCCTTACGCAGTCGTTGCCTAGCGACGGTAACTGTAAAAGGCATTTTGCCTTTGAAATTAACAGGCGTAAATGATCAAAACCAAAGAAGAAGCGCGAGCCAATGACTTGCAGTTGTTGTTGTTTTTCGTTTTAAAAATTTGATTTAAAACCATAGAACATTATTTATTACAATCAAACAACAGTGCTCGATTGTCCAATGTATACATACATACATACGAATGTACATACATGTACGTATACAGGCATACATACATACATATGTATGTACATATCAGAGAACTGCAACGAGTATGTTCGACCACCCTTGCTGAAAATTCGATCAAATCAGATCTTTGCTTGGCTGCAAACGAGATCGAACGAGTTGAGTACTCTCGGCATTTTTCTTATGATCGAACTTGCATGACCAATCTTTCTATTTTTACGAACAAGCACCGGTCTTGATTGGTTTGCTTTCAAACAGTTCAGGCTCGGTCACTTCGAGTATTCTGTTCGTTGCGAACGGGTACCAGCCTTGATTGGTTTGCTTTGAAACATTTCAGGCTCGGTCACTTCGTTTAAAATGACTGGGTCTTGATCAAACCAAACCAGACTTTGCAGAATGAGCGTTTGATCGAACGAGTTATTGGTCGAGTATTGTTTGGGTATTACGCGTGCTATACTCGGGTATTACTCGAGTATTGCGCAGGTTTTACCCGAGTATGTCTCGAGTATTGCGCGGGTTTTACCCGAGTATGACCGTATAAAAAATTCATGTATGTACATATTTATGTATACGGTCAAGTGTGAGTGACATTGACAATACGACGAACTTCATCGGTATGGGACATAAATAAACACGAACATAATCCCGGCCGTTAAACATTTGTTTAAACTTCACTTATATCGACAGTGAATGCGTGCTGGGATTCTTCTAGTTGCCGATAGAAATCATCCAGTACGATTGCAATATATGACACGATGTAGTGGAGTGTAATCAGAACCAAAAAATCTTCGGTGGCTCCTGGTCCAAAATTGCCAATAGTTGATTTAGGTTTTCTAAGTCTTCATGTCGGCTTCAATTGGTGTTCCTCCTCGTCAAGTCATCAGAGGATAGGATCTCAAAATATCCATTAAGAAAATGGGATGACTGTATTTTGTGTTATGACCAGTGGCCGTAATGCTTGGATTGCGGATTCCGCCCCAAGGATCGATTGCGAGTAATCCTGTTTGGTTTAGCTGTAGATTAAACTGCTCGTTGTTGCAAATATCAGAGAATTGTATTGGTTCCCGAGTTGCGAAAACTTATTGGTTTTATGCGTGCATAGCCAGAGAAATTACGTATTCATATGAGTTGTTGCACAGTCAATAGACTTTGAACGTTGATAGAATTCTGAATTGTAGTTGCTCGAAAAAATCAATTGCTTGTCGTTCCATATCCATTCATCATTGTTTAGCAGATTACAGTTGCGTAGATCAGTATGAGTGAGTAAGACGAAACTGCTATGATTGGATGTTGAATGTTGATCGTCGATATGTCAGACTGGGTAATTAAAGGAATTGGCACCAAGTTGTATTGCTCTACGACGCTAAGATTGCCACTGTCTATTAAATATGACATGATTATCCTGTTCCTTCAGCCTGTATCTATATATATAAAAGAGATTGTCCTGACTGATTGACGATCAACGCACAGCCCAAACGATAAAAGCTAGGAAGCTGAAATTTGGATTTAAGTATCCTTTAACAGTGTAGATGCAGTGAACAGGATGCAGTTAGTTCCGAATCATCCTCGAAACATTATGTTACTTTAAATATTAAGGTAATATTATTCAAAAGTCCCCAGCCAAATAAAAAATTTCAAATCGATCGACACCGTGACTAATATCAAAGACACACTACATTACCCACAGGAATTTTTAAATTCACTAAACCCTTCTGAACTGCCGTCACATGAATTGAAGTTAAAAATCGGAATTCCAATCATGGTCTTGAGAAATTAATGCCTTCCGAGCATGTGCAATGGGCCGAGGCTGCTTTTTAAGAAATTCAAATTTAAGTGTTGCGTTTTGGAGCTCCTGAAAATCAATATATTTTGCTGCCATAAAATAACATCAAACATCGTTTACAGAGACGCTCTGACTCAATGAAGAGTAACAAAAAATCTTAAAAAAAAAGTATTCAAATAATAATATCCTATGATTATAATTTTACTCCAGTAGGAGTAATGCAGTAGGAAGAACTTATAGTGCACTAAGGCATATCTCTTTGACGCAGAATTTCCTCCCAGGCAAACTCAAGCTCCTTATCAGAGAACTGCATGAGTGCCTATTTTTGTGACTCTAAGTATACTTACTGAAAAGGCGGTTGCGGTGTAATCGCCACCGCATACTTTTTTGTCTATTCAGTCACTGACTTAAAAGGCATTTTTGTATTGCTATGACTGGATCACTTTCATACTCTATCATGGGTGTATGCGGTGTATGCTTTACTTTTTCATCGCACATTCTTGTTGTTTTCTGCAATCGTACTTATACTCATACGCGCACAATACCAATATTGCGTGCGCAAGAAATGATGAGAGAAGAGTTGACAAAATCAATGTGATGATTAGTGAAGCAAAGACCAAGTACTGCAAACACCGCATAGGAAAATGCTACAGCTAGAAAACAATATAACGATAACTATATTATCAATGTTTTTCGCAACTATCAGTGGTTTCTTATTCAGTTTTTCGAGTCACAATAAGCAAACATACTAAATATGCTATTACTATACCAAGTGTGAACTATATACTATATTGTATTTATGCCTTGATTAGCTTATTTCGACTTATATACATATGCAAAAACATGAAACAAAGAAATAATTTAAGTTATTCATTTTTTTGTCCGAATTTCAGCTTCCCTGCTTTCATTTATTTGTGTTGCTCGTATTTGTATAAAACTTAAACAAAGTGCCCGTCTATTGTGGAGTGAAAACATACTTTCTGCAATTTTCTGCGAAAAAGTAATATTGCCAAATTAAAGTTGAGTATTTATATTAACTTATGTTAAATATGCTTTTTGCGATTTTCTGGCGCTTTTATTTTGTAGCTGAGGCTGAAAGTGCACAGAAATCCTTATTTTGTATCTGAGGCTGAAAGTGCACAGAAATCCTTATTCGTAATCACTATAATACCACTAAAACTCCTAGATGATTTTGGAAATGTTTTGTGGGTAATTCGTAGTGCTTCTTACACATGATCTCTATCGTTTTGACAAATACAAAATCATATCAATTGTGACCTATCTGTAAGGCGAGCACAAAAGAATTTATGCAAAATGGCCATATTTAAAGCTTGGCATGAGTTTTGCATGGGTTGGCTCTTTTCCAATTTGGTGTATTATTTGTAAGTTAAAGCACAAATAATCATAAATAGAAGTGTTATTTATAACTCTAACTTCATGTTTCGAATTTATGCCAAAAAATCGGCTGTCTGGCCCAATGTACATTGTGGAAAAATAAACCTAAAGATTATAAAAATAAACATTTGAGCTATAAAGCATTGGAAAATGTATAAATGTATTTGTGCTGCCGAATATATTAAAATATTTTGTCACTATATTATATTCTGGCTTATCACCGTGATAAAGGAACTGGAACATAAAGAAATATCATCTCTAATCACTTTTTGTGAAGCGTTTCTTTATATATAGATACATATATATTTCATTTATTTTATATTAGACATAAATCGCTATTCCAAATGTCGCTAGCAGATGAATTGCTTGCCGATTTAGAGGAGGAAAACGACAATGAAGTTGACTATGCTGAAGTGGCTGAGTACGAGGACATTGAGCAGGCAGCACTGGTACGTGATCAGGCTCAAAATCCTATGGATGTAGATGTTACAGTGCAGTCGGTCCGTGAACTGTGTAAGTTGCGCGACTCGGAAAGACTCCGGTACACGCTGAAACAAATAGAGCACTATGTGTGTCGGCAAAGAAGCGCTTCCGAGATGCTTGGAGTAGAGTCAGATCCAGAGTACTGCTTAATAGTGGATGCAAATGCCATAGCCGTGGATATAGACAATGAAATATGTATGTTAACCAGAGGCGTAGGTACATTCAGTAATTTAACATAATATATTTTTTATATGCACAGCTATCATACATAAATTTACCAAAGAGAAATACCAGAAACGTTTTCCTGAGCTGGACTCACTTATTGTGGGGGAAATTGAATATCTATTAGCTGTTAAAGAATTGGGAAACGATTTAGATCAAATCAAAAGCAATGAAAAATTACAAGCCATTCTTACACAGGCCACTATTATGATTGTCTCAGTAACGGCATCTACCACGCAAGGGTAAGCCTATGCTACTATTCGCTTTTAATGTTGCAACTAATATATTTACATTTTTCTTTAGAGTTGTACTCACGCCGACAGAAAAGGCAAGGATAGACGAAGCCTGTGAAATGGCAATCCAACTGAACAATTTTAAATCTAAAATCTATGAGTACGTAGAGAGCCGCATGACATTTATTGCACCCAATCTATCAATGATAGTCGGTGCCTCCACAGCAGCCAAGTTACTTGGCATAGCGGGAGGTATAAGCAAGCTTTCAAAGATGCCTGCGTGCAACATTCAAGTTTTAGGCTCACAGAAAAAGATACTTTCTGGTTTCTCCCAAACTCAAATGCTTCCACACACGGGCTACATATATCACTCGCAAATCGTCCAAGACACTGCACCTGATTTGCGACGCAAGGCGGCCCGTTTGGTGGCTGCTAAATCAGTGTTAGCGGCGCGAGTTGATGCCTGTCATGAGAGTATGCATGGCGAGATCGGACTCAAGTTTAAGGAGGAAATTGAAAAAAAACTTGATAAGTTACAGGAACCACCCCCAGTAAAGTTTATCAAGCCACTACCAAAACCCATAGAAGGAAGCAAAAAGAAACGTGGCGGCAAACGTGTACGAAAAATGAAGGAGCGATATGCCTTGACGGAGTTCCGCAAGCAGGCGAATCGTATGAATTTTGGTGATGTGAGTAATAATCATCATGTCAGCTAGGTATCCCATAAATACATTTGTACAATTTGCAGATTGAAGAGGACGCCTACCAAGGAGATTTGGGCTACTCTCGTGGTACCATTGGTAAGGCGGGCACAGGCCGCATTCGCCTGCCACAGCTAGATGAAAAAACCAAGGTGCGCATAAGCAAGACTCTGCAGAAGAACCTTCAGAAACAGCAGGTCTATGGCGGAAGTACAACTGTTAAGCGTCATATTTCGGGTACTGCCTCTAGCGTGGCCTTCACGCCGCTTCAGGGGCTAGAGATTGTGAACCCGCAGGCGGCCGAGAAATCACAAACTGAATCACATGCAAAGTATTTTTCAAATACATCCGGTTTTGTATCGGTTGGCAAGCACACCACTTAAGCAATTAATGTCTCAAATGTAACATTTTATTTAAAACTTTTCCTTTGTAAAATTTAGAATGCCTTACATAATACACTGTAAATTATTGAGATTTGATGGTATATAGTATATCCGGGGCTTATTAACTAAGTTTGCCCAATTCCAGCTTGCTTTGTATGACCTCCCACGAATTATTTAGTATTACGGCCAAGATACCGGCTACTGTGAAAACACCACCAATTATGGAACAGCAATTGGTAGCGAAGTGCCCAAAGGTGCTACAAGTTATAAAAAAGACGTGTGTAAAATAATAAGCTAAACAATGAACTGAGATATTTACATATGTTTTTCTGCGTATTTAACCATAAGCGGTGACAATTCGTAACTGAAGAATATGCCTGGCATACCGCGTTCCTTATCGGTCAAATCTTTTCGGTAGCGCGTCACAGAGAACTGATTGGTGTAAATGGGTGCGCCGTCGCTCTCTCGAACGTATAGAGTAGGTACAATTTTTAGGTAGTAATTAAACATTTCGCCCTTTGACTCTGAAAAAGAAATGAATATTCAATTTAAATACATACATATGTATGTATATGTACAACAGCGCCATCTAGTTATTTCACTCAACCAGGGCTACACAACTTGTAGCTCGTTACCTTTGCTACACATGGCAATAATTTGACAGCTGACGTACGCATACAGGAATTTAACATTACACAATTTCGGCGGCATTTGAGTCGATTCATTAAAAAATTTATAACTTACAAAAAAGAAAAACAGTGTGTCCCCAAATTAAAAGGGAAATAGTCACAAAGCGGCACGTTTTGTCTATCTTAGGATTGCGATAGGTTTATTGCTACTGCCGCAAGTATGCCATTACCGAGCAGCTCCTTTTCACAACAAGGGCCCACTTGCTTTGACAAAATGAAGACTGGCTTTACCATTGGGTTCTGTGTTGGCATGGCCAGCGGTGCACTCTTCGGTGGTTTCTCGGCTCTAAGGTAAGCAGGCGCTGAAAAGGCTATGTAAGACACAAACGCGCTTTTATGTAATATCCGGCAAGCCGTGATAACACATTTCTTTCCACAGGTATGGCCTGCGCGGGCGGGAGTTAATTAATAATGTTGGTAAAGTGATGCTTCAGGGCGGCGGAACTTTTGGCACCTTCATGGCCATAGGTACAGGAATACGCTGCTAAGTGAGGTGCACTTAAGTATAGAACCAACTACAGTTAAGATTTAAAATTATATAAAATATAAGAACCTAGTGCTTAAATTACGTTAAGTTTACGGAATAGAAATTAAATAGTTATCTCCAAGTGTTTCATCTATTTATACACATACCTGGTACTTCGACCCGCAGACCATCCAATGGATGTGTCTTAGCGAACTTTATTTTCTCGCCAAAAGACAGGTGGTTAATGGTGTGGGACAGCTTCACATTAGTGAATTGAAAGTCATGTATGTGAAATTGACGGATTGAAAAACTTTTCCCAGGTGCAAAATGGAAGCTACCGGCCATCTAAATGAGCACCGTGAAAAACCATGAGCCGATTTTAACTTTTAAGGTAGAAATGCTTACGCGGTTCACTTCTAGGTGGCCTTGTATGCGACACCCTTCTTTGAAAGCATCGTCATCATTGCGTTGGTATTTCCCTTTGCATTGTTCAATTTTATCCACCTGAACGTTCCATTTGCGTAGTCGATAGGCTTCCAAAACATCTTCGCACGTATTGCAACAGCTGTAAAAAACATATAAAAAATTAAATAACCGCTTTTTGAGCGTAAGCTTTCTTGCATATTAATACCCACTGGGTGGCATTATACTCAGCGCCATAGCAACTACCGCAGCTGCTGTTCTTATTGGCCGGGGACACTGCTACTATTTCCTTAATCGGCTCCATCTCACTCAACGGCTTGCCCTGTAGATCCAAGCGGTGCTTGAATATATCGTGATCAACACGTAAATGCGTATCCCCAGACGAATCCATGGCATCTAGGGAAATATAATTGCAACCCAAGTTGTGCAGAGTCACATCCAAATTGATACGCAGCTTGTGTCCACGAGTGGTATCCACAAAAAGTTCTTCGTTTAGCGTAGGTCGCATATATGTGCTGAATTCCAAAAATATGAGGAACCCAATGATTGTAGTGCTGACGATGGTTACTGGCGAAGTTAAATTTATTTAATACAAGTAAACGTACTCCACGATTTACGTCCTTACCAGCGGCACCGCCAACTGTTCGGACGCTAAAATCATCCAATGTGCGGGGATATGCGTCTAAGCGACGTAAAATATCGGCGAATTTCATTTTAAAAGCAGCTAACGCAACACGGTAACTACATCATCACATCATTGGAAGCGTTAAGTGACGTGTGACAACAGCTGACAAAGCTAAAACAATAATATGAAGTAATGCCATCCACTTCTTCAGAATGAGGTGTATTCACATAACTCACGAATGTTCACTTTAAGATTGAATGAAATAGCACTACATACACACATAAGTACGTGGGCACCACGAAATATCTTTATCCGAGCCAATGTTAAATATTGTGATTTTATTTATATTATTATATTATAGTTATCGTTGAACAATCGATTAACTAAGTCGATATCAGTGGTCTGGGCACGTTGGGTGTTAGAGCTGGGGAAACATCGATGTTTGCCAACATTTTTGATCGATTTTACCCCTCTCGGTATTCGAACTCACGTAAAGGGTGTAATTGCACATATGTATACAAAGCAGAGACCTCCAGCGGTGCACCGCAACAATAAGTACACCGCATACGTACTTAGAATATTTCATTCACGATAATGCAATACACTGCATAAAAATGATGCGGTGTTGATTATACTCATGGCCTTCTTATACTTAGATCAATGCAATCACAACAAGACTTTTCGCTGTCCTCTTCACTCATTTTTGTACCTTTGCGGTTGCGCAAAGAAACTTGTGAGAGTAAAAACCACCACCAAATTTTAGCGATCAATTGAGTATTGGGTTCTCTTGCACTCGGTCGTTTTGAGTATTCACTCTGCACGATCAATTCAGCTGCGTTGCCTGCAGTACTTGTACTTAAGCATGATTTGCGGTGTTGACCTCGCATATTCAGTGCATGTATTTATGTATGTATGTATGTTTGTACTATGAATGTACATATGTACGTACCAATATGTATGCTTCACTAATCATCACTTTGATTTTGTCAACTCTTCTCTCATTATTTCTTGCGCACGCAATATTTGTATTGTGCGCGTATGAGTATAAGTACGAGTGCAGAAAACAACAAGAATGTGCGATGAAAAAGTAAAGCATACACCGCATACACCCATGATAGAGTATGAAAGTGATCCAGTCATAGCAATACAAAAATGCCTTTTAAGTCAGTGACTGAATAGACAAAAAAGTATGCGGTGGTGATCACACCGCAACCGCTTTTTCAGTAAGTATACTTAGAGTCACAAAAATAGGCACTCATGCACCCCCATAGGGGGGAAGTGTGGAGGAAAATAAAACAAATAAGACAAATTTGCACAGCGTACACACATAAGGCATCTTTGTGCATCTAGCTCTTATAGTCTCAGAGATCCAGGTGTTCATATGGACACGCGGACAGACAGACAAACCTAATTTACTCATGTACTTTTCATGTACTTCTCATGTACAGATTATAAAAAAAAACATGTCTACATGCTTAGATTTAAGCGAACTTTTTTTTCGCTAACTATAAGTCCAGCTTTGCTGAACATGCGCTCTCTTTCAGTGGACGTTGCAGGAACGCAGAGGTACTTATATATACATGTCTTAAGGGACTTCTCATTTGCGATCTGTAAATAACGCATTTAATCATTGTGAACTTATCAACCGATATTGTTATATAAAGTTTTACCTTCCAGTCATTTAAAGGGCTTAGGCTTGAATCCAAATTATCCATGTTCAAATACTGACGAAGAGTCAAACTGGAGTCAACGCGAGAATTAGTGGCTGCGTGTGTGGCTGTGTTGTGGATATTGGTGTTGGCAGGCTTGGTCCAGAAGGAAGCGAAGATCTAAGCAAGGCGTTGTTGAGTGATGAGAGCTCATTTTCCAGACATTTTTCCGCCTCTGAAGTATTAAAAGTCGACAAGAAACTTCCTTTTTAAAACGAGGATCTAGCAGGCCTTACACAGTCTTCAGATTGAAATTTAGCATAAGCTACAGAGCTGCCCTTAAAAAAAGAGACTATACTCTTGCACTTTCCCATTATGGTCTTAATTTCGCTTAAGATAGACAGTCTTGTATGGCCAAGTTAATTGAGTGCGCAAAGCATGGCACATGTCTTTTTTGCAAGATCTCACATGCTTTTATTATATTCTTAGCGTTATCTGTCACAATGGCTGTTACTTTGTCAAAAACTCGCTTCAGTAAGCACATCACGCAATGAACTCGATATGTTTGTTTTTTGGTTGACAAAACTGCTGTGCGTAACTCAAAGTTTGTCGTTATGAAATGGCAAGTTACCATAATATAACTTTCGTTAGCTCGTGACGTCTAGTAATCAGTTGTCACAGCGCAATGCTCTACATTTTCCAAAACTACATGCAATTTGGATTTCATATCATTAAAGAGATTTGGCGTACACACATTTGTCAATTTTGAACGAGAAGGTAACTCGTAGCGTGGATCAAGCTTGCCGCAAATTGACGGAATCCTTTGTTTTCAACTACTGAAAATGGTCGTAGGTCTGAGCTGATGTAGAAGGTCAATGCGCTGTCCAAACCCTTGTTCCTACAACGACAAAATAGAGCTTGAGGTCGTAGGATGCATTCTTTTCACATGTCCAGATAAATTGGTGGTATTGCCACATGGTTGATCACTTTACCACATTTAAGGCATTTAGCAGACTTGCCATCCTTAGACTTATTGAAGAAATTCCAGACAGTTGACTTTCCATATTTTGCCCGTTTATTAAGGTCACCATTTCAATTGGTTTGCATTACAATCTACATAGAACAACATATTAATACATATGTATGTATAATAAAAATACACATACACAAATAAGACTGCAACTGCAAGATAAAAATTACCTTTGCTATTAGGTTCTTTTAAAAACTTATCCATTTCCAAGCACTGCCAACACCAATATAATTTGTAATTATTAATAATGTTTTCTGTATTAAATTAGGGGTTTTATTCAAGAATGCAAATTATAGCTTTTACTTACCTAGCTTTTCCCGCGAATTTTATTCAAGTAGTAAAAAACATCGAACATCGGAAATAAAAGATCGATGTTTGGAAAAAATTACAAAACATCGATGTATCGATTTTACATCGATGTTTCGCCCAGCACTATTGGGTCTTCTTTTTTTCATTTCTCACAAGAGACGGAGATGTTAAGGCGTAAGAAATGGGAGTTTTAGCGCCGCTTTTTGGGCGTAACCTTCCTTCCTACTACCCAATGTGTATAATGTGATGGCGACAGTTTTGTGCTATTGCCTTGGTGCTATATACATATGTATGTATGTACGTACACTAGCAGGTCTTGCCCATCTTAAGAGTTCATTTCCCAAATTACTTTGGTACGATTTGAGAGCTAGACCATAAAGTACAATAAATACCATGTATGGTTATATGCGCATACATATGTATGTATGTATGTATATATATACATACATATATACATATGTATATTTATGTATATAGTATGATAGGGATAAATCGCGGCAAGTAATTTCTAGAATTAGAAGCTGTACAATTTGCAACGTTATTTGGTCAACCTGTGGAACTTTACACATTGAAATGAGCATACGCACTTACATACATATGTATGTACATTATACATATCATAATTATTTCTTCTACTCTTTAATGAAAAGTTACAAAAATACAACGTAGTTTGTATGCTTTCTCAGAGTAAATAAACCAAGTTAAAAGTTAATCGGATTTCTAATTTTATAAAACCACTTCATGGTGCTCACCCACACTTTGACTGCTTACCATTTGGGCTGTGCGTTGATTGCACATATTTACATACCGATATATGTACATACATATGTATGTATGTTCATAAATACATATAATTTTTTCGTTGGGTTGGAAAAGCAGATAATTAACAAACTATTTTATATACATATATGTATGTATATACACAAATATGTATCTACATAAAATACATACATACATAGATTGAGACATTGAGGGCTGTTTCTAGAATTAAACACTGTAAAATTTAACAACGACATACATATGTATGTACATAAGTACAGTCATAATTTATAAGTGCAACCCGTCCGAAATTCCTCAGCACGCTGCACGCGTGGTCGAGTTATTCCCGAAAAGAGGGACTGAGCTTGTCCCGCGCGGGACATTTAATTTTGATTTAAAAATCAGGACGTTCCGCCAAAATTGGGACGTCTGGCAAAGCTGATACGTACATACATACATCCATATGACCATTTTATTTTTTTGTTGCAGGCGTTGACCAAGCTGCTGCCCATGGGAATGCTGGGTCAGCTACTTGGGTGCAAATGCCTGGCGGTGAATTTGCTCAAGCATTTGCTGATGGGGGGGCTGAGCGTTGTGGGTTACCTACTCCCCCCTTCATGACGCGGCCGTCCTCGGCTGTGCTGATGCTTGCCACCATCTCCTTTAGTTCGAATGTGTTTTTTCTTTTCATCATGTATTGTCTGACCAAAACACAGCCGTAGATCGCCAGGCAGCCTCCAAGTCCCATGGAGATTCCCACTGCCAGTTTGGCATTTGCAACTACCTCATCCTTAACCTCCTCAATAACACGTATGTTATCTTCGTTTAGTCTGTGGAGGAAGGGGAGGCTCAGCACCGGGTCGTGTGCACTGATGTTAAGCAACGGAGACGATGCGATCTCTGGGACCTTACTTTGAGCGTTATTGCGGTTCACGAATCTGGTGTCGTTAATGCGGGCAGAGCCCTCGAATGTGACAAGGTAAGTGCCAGTCGTGGTTATCTCTGGCCCGTCGTCGACGCAGATTCCCGCCATGCGATCGTTGACGATGATGATCCCGTCATCGACTAGCGTTACCTTCTCCAAGTGGCTGGGTCGAGATTGGCAATGGGCAACCTCGCCGCCTCACAAAATGTTGCTCCTGTCGTGGGCAAGCAGTTAGTTACTGCGAGCTGCTCACTCATAATTGACCTTAAACCCGCGTGATCTAAAATAGTTGAATTAATAATTTTTGACTTGGCAAGCGTTATTGTGAGCATGAGGTTCTGAATCTCGGTTATTATCATCCTATTTCTTGCCAAAAGTGTTTCGTACAGGTGAGCCGTATCAATGTGCTCCCTTTTTGTGGACTTTAGGATTTTATTAACCGTGCTAGTCAAGCGGTTTATCTGATCTTGTGTTTTGGTATTTATTACCACACGCCTATTATTTGAATCTACGAGCTGAGCCTCCGATATTTTTATTTTTTCTAAATCGGAAGCATCAGGGGTACCTGCGA